GGGTTTGTCCTTCCCATTCACCATCATACATACAATGCACCCTTTCTTTTTTAAACACAGAATAAACCCAGGTTTCTATTTTTTCCCTTTTTTTGATAATGGAGAGTCAGTATCAGCTTCCACCTCCAAACCAGGCGCCTTCAATATAACACCAACATGGAGCCAACGTGGCTCCTCAAACACATCCTGTGCAATAAACCTCTGGATTCTACTTTGTTAAATGAAAAGCTTTTTGGCATGAAAATAAATTGGTAATCATATAAATTAATGAGATGAAAAGTTTAATCTCATGATTTACTGTATAAGAAAGAGCTCGATTGTCTAGTTGTGCTTTTTTTTTTTTTTACTTAAATTTTTGAAAGTGACTTTTTAAAAACATGTTTTGTCAGCTGAACAACAGTTTCATCACTAGTGTGTGCAAAATCAGCACACTGTAGGGTATTTGACAAATAGTTCATAAGACACACTAACATCTCAGAATCATCAAAGGCCAAACTCAGCCAAAGTTAATGTGGTGTGGTGGAGACATGGCTGGAAGCTGCGACGCCGCAATCAGAGACAAGTCCGAACACGACCCGCTGAACCTCACAAGATGTTGGTTTCAGGCTGTTTCACTCGGGGACATTCACCAATCAGCAGCCTGGAACTGGCTCCATTCCTGCAGCTTTCACAAGAGCACTGTGATTGCAAAATATCCCACTTTAATCATTTTGTATTTGAAATTGAGCTCAGTCAGGTTGACTAATCAATTACCCGTAACCTGCCGTATTTGTTACGCACATTCCCAGCAGATGAGTCAAAGGTAACTGCTATATATTAACATGCAAAGTGTAACCTGATTACTACAAATAACCAGATTAGAGTAATAATTTGATTACAGTGTTGCATGATTCACAACAATTTAATAGTCTGACAAGACATGATTTGTGTGATAATGTTGTTTATGGCCAGAGTGTGGGGCATGTGGCAGTCTACAGGAAACATCATATTGATGCTGATAAAAAGAAGGAAATTCGATTAAACTGAAATTTAGCTGGTGCTCATTTTTTTGATGAAAAGGCTGTTCACTCTCTGGCACATTCTCCCACAAAAGGAAATTCCAGGAGACATTTGCAGTTAAATACGTGCAATCTAGATCTGTTAATGTGATTATTTCAAGTAAGAGAAGCTGGTAAGGGTAATAATTCAGAGTACTGCTGTCGCCGCACTCTTCTCTTTTCTTCAAAATTTACCACAACTGAGTTAAAGTCTGTGTAAAATAAAGGAGTTTAAAATGATTCTTCAGAAACTGGTAATACACTACATTTCAAATGTTTACTGTGAAAAACAAAACGTTACGGCCTCACAAGGCCCAGTCTTTTCTCCTCCTTGCTCCACAGACTAGTTAAGTCCAGCTGAGAGCCACTGAGCATCTAAAGCATCTAAAGACAATCATTTTCCAGAACACATAGCATCACTCTTTCTTTCTCATTATGGCTATAACAATTGCCTTAATCTGGTCATTATTAAACTGTTATTGTGTTGTACACAGGGATGGACAAAGCGGTTTTATTGCAGCTATAAGAACCTGCTTTTGTAGAGAAGGTCACTCACACACACACACACACACACACACACACACACTGAACTTGAATTTCCAGGTCTGCAGAGGTTGTTGTTTGGAGTTTCTTTCTCACAGGTCCTGAGACAGTGACAGTGTTAGGGAGAGACAGCCCACAGGCATCCAGATGCTCTGTCGAGTGGCTCTGCCAGCGAGTAATTCATAACCTAGTGACACAGATTTGTACGTTTTATGAGAGACTAATGATACTGGTGCAGGTAGAGCAAAAAAACGTTATCTGAGCCCCCTCTGCTCCAAGAAACGCAACATACAGATGAAACCTCTGAAACTACTCATGTTTTTATCTCATTCAAAAGGCACAAATCTTCTTTCTTTATCAGCTTTTGGCAGTAACAGTGTTTCCCCATTGTATTATATGAGCTGTTCTCCTCCTGTGTGATGATATGATGACCCATTGTTAAACTGGCTTTGAAGAAGCCATTTAAAGAGAAGAGGGTGCCAGAAGAAAAAGCAGATTATCACTGAATGAAGGGGAGAGCATTTCCCCTCAAGGCCTGTGACACCAAAAGTTGGTGTCATCCCTCCACTCGGCGTTGGCCTCTTTTAACGGCCCATGCCCCTACGCACCACCTAATCTCTTAATTGACCCTTTGTAATTGTAATTGTATCATTAAAAGCTCTTGGTTACACAACACAAGGCATGTAAGCCGAGCCATGTGTGAGCAAAGAATAACCACTACACATTACTGCTCTGAGGGAACACACACACACACACACACACACACACACACACACACACACACACACACACACACACACACACACACACACTGATACACACCATTGGAAGGGGAGATGAAGTGTAGGAAGAGGGGATCTTCAAAAGAGGAGGAAAACAAATGTCACACAGAGGAGAAACTCTCCCCCACTGCAGAAGAGGCTGCGTGACAGAGAGCGGACAGACTTTGGCATGTCCCCGCTCCCTTTAATGCCTCCTGACGTTGAAACAAAGGACGGCAGAGAGGTGCTGAACTGCCTCACATAAAAAACACAGGAAAAGATGACCCCCCCCCCCTTTTTAAGACAAGGAGAGAAAGAGCGTGTCAAAAAGACACAGAGGCCAAAATGCTGTCAGGAATTCACCATCTTCACATGAAACATGTTCACTGCTGAAAAAGCAAACTTATCATTGTACTTCACTTTCCAGTGAGGGCTCATGTTCAACTATGCAACAGTTTATGGGATCATGTTTTCACTACAGTCATAATCCTGCTGGTGTCAGTTCAGCAGATGCAGTTTTGGTTTGGACAATAAACCAAAAGGTTTTCAATGTCAAAGGGTTAGTGCAGATTTATTTTTCCACAAGGGGCAAAATAAAAGAAAGCTGGTAAAGTAGATGTTATTTGCTTCAATTTGTACAGTGGCAAATAACCATGACTCAAGAGCTTAACCACAATATTGTCTATTTATATAGTCCCTTAGTCAGACTGAAATTAAAGGAAATGTAAAATCTTGGAATGAATGAGTTAAATGGGAAATAAATATACTATTACAGTGTAATAGGAACATTCATCATTTGGTGAATAACTGAATCAGAACACAAAAAAATGTGCAGCTGTTTCAAGGACTGCTCTGCCTATTATTTTCTCAGACATCTTCTAACGTCTTGTTTTGCTCAACTAAACCCCCAAAATGTTCAGTTTACACCGATATATAAACCTGAGAAAGTCAGATAGGAGAAGCTGTAGTCTGAGAAAAATTTGACTTTTTGCTTGAAAAATGACTCGAACGATTCATTGATTAATAAAGTAGTTGCTGTTTATTATTCTGTCGATTGAGTAATCAATTAAGCAGTGGGTTCTGCAACCTGCCAGTTGAGCCTTATGTTTAACAAAGATCGGTTGAGTCAAGTACTCTGCTGAAAATAAATAAATAAATAAATAAAGGTATGAAGGTCAGATGCGAGTAACACCTCTTTGTATGTTACTGTTCATTAATGTTAACAGGTTATTCAGAAACAAAGAGGGCTCAGGCCCCCCCACCCCACAAAACCCCTCTGGTCAGTCAGTGAATATGTTTTTGGTTCTCTCGTATAATGCAGAAAAAAAAAAATCTGTATACATGTATTTTCTTGGCTGATCCTGGACCTGCAACCTCCACAGCTAAAAGAAAAGAAACTAAGCTGATTTTTATATAAAGAAAACATGATGAATGACCATTTGTGGACGTTTGTCTTTCAGCCTGGCATCTGGCGAAGCTCCTTAGCGAGTTGAGACAGGCCCTGCTGTGGTGTTTGTCATCCTGACTGCTCATGCATCATCATTAGAGAGCACTGTGGACCTGACAGTGCTTGATGCCCCGGTATCTAAATAATTACTAAGATAAATAGACTCAAGGTGCTCAGTGGGGACGTCCCAAACCGTTTGCAGTATGAGCAAAGTCGTTTTTGTAAAATGAAAATTGTGCGCTCACTTGGGTGACACACATGAATAGACTTCAGCAAGTCAGTTTCTATAGATAGATAGAGTCAATGTTTGATTTTCCAGGCCACAAAGCCAAGTGTAATCATAGAGTCTGAAAGTGGACTCCATGACAATAACAAAAGGTCTACTTATTATTTTGCCAGATAGAGTGTATTTTTCTCATTTATCTCTGCAGTGTTTGTCTCTGTGACTGTTTCTGTGTGGCAGTTGGGATTTTTTCAACACTGCATTTTAATACCTGATGCAATATCTGTGCTGTGCAAGTCTTTTGATGAACTGTGAAAAGAATATCTAGCTGGTGCAGTTAGGAAACAGTCAAGTGAGTCATACTTCTATCTTTTAACAATTTATTTCCTTCTCATTTTCCCTAAAGAATATTGCTAAAGTGGGTTCTAGCGTTAAGTAACCTGCTCTGGCTGCATAAAGAGTAACACAAATCACAAAAAGATTACTATAAAATCCAGTCCATTAGTATTTTTATTCATCTCTTGTAAACTCTTTGTTTCTAACTACCTGTGGCTCTGTGTTTGAGTTTACTGGCCAAATCACAACCGTGTGATTTCCAGGCCCATTTGCCTTCAATCTGTCAGTGCTGTTTCTGTTTGGACGCTGGTGATTGTTGTTTTCTGGACACATCGTCGGGTCAGGTCCCGCATTGTTTAAACGTGCTGTCAATCATGTGAAGTCATTCATAAAGAAAACAAACACCACAGTGTATAAATATGCACTCCCCAACTCACTCACTCACACTCACAAAAGCACACTAAGCACATAAACAAACAAACTGCAGGGTGAGAATGGGACATAGAATCGAAAGGAATCTGACTCTTCCTGTGGAGAGAGCTCTATGATAACAAAACTGGGACTCTGATAAGAACACACACACGCACACACACACACACACACACTAACACACAGCTGCTATAGTTTGCAGGCTGATGGACAGGAGTACTCACACTGAATGCTGCTTGTCCCGGCCCAGGCGAAGGGGTCCAGGCCGGAGAAGTAAGGGGTGGCCTTTCCTAGCATGCAGGAGCCTTGTCCGGACACATCAAAGAGGGGCCGCGGGGCCAGCCCCAGAGCTTCCATACAGTCAAACATGCTCTTCTCTAATCACAGCAACACAACTGCAGACCTCTGCTATTGTTCTGCAGCTGAGCTAAGAGAGAGAGGCTGTAAAAACTCAGAGAACGCTTCCTGTTACTCAAAAGTAACTCAATGCCCTGCTTGGTCCAGGTGTTCCCTGTCTGTCTGTCTGTCTGTCTGTCTGTCTGTCTGTCTGTCTGTCTGTCTTTGGCACTGCCCCCTGCCCGCCTGACCTGTCCCTTCCAAACTAAGTCTTCTGGACAGATAAAACCCTGTCTTTTTTTTTTTGCCTTGTTTCTGTTCTACAACACAAACTACTTTTACACTCTCTCTGTTCCCAGATCACTTGCTTGCCTGCTGTAACTGATCTTCCCTTCCCCTCTCGCCGGCTCTCTGGGCCTCTCACACTCCAGCACAGACGCAGCCAACTATCTGCATGCTCTCTCAGCAGACAGAAAGGAGGTGGGGTCGAGGAAGAAGAAGAAGAGGGAGGGACACGCAGCCCGAGCGGGGGGGTGTGTACTCGCTTTTTGATTGGCCATTCAACAAACTTTCTCTCCCTCCCTCTTTTATCCTTCAAGTTTTCCAACTCGCCTCTTCATATTTCATATTCAGCAAATGAAAACAAACAGTCCTCACCTCCCCTAAACTCCCTCCCTCTAATCTTTCTCCTTTCTCTTTTTTTTCAGTATTAATGTTCTTCTTGTTCTGCCACAGGAAGGAAACAAATAGCCGCTCTCCCAAACAGTACAGCTCTGCCACATTTAGCGAAAAAACAAAAAACTCCCATCTCGCAGAGTCTGTTGGGAGTGAGAAGGAAAGGTGCTGAGAGAGCGGCAGTTTAGTAAAGGTGTCATTTGCTAATTTCCCCAGCTTTCACTGTAAACGGATGCTCTCCTGAGGGTTTCTGCACAGGGAAAGTAGGATTGAGTGCTTCCCTGAAGTGACCACATGAACACATCTGCGGGCACACACACACACACACACACACACACACACACACACACACACACACACACACACACACACACAGCTCATGCAATTTCCCCTAAAATAAATACGATTTAAATTAATTATTATTCCCATAAGTGCATATAAACAAACAATGAAACAGTGTATTAATAAGTACAAAAGAACAGAAAAAGAAACCCACCAAAAAAAAAACAAAGAAAAGCAGGTCATGCTTTATTTCACTAGACCATTATTCACTGATAATTTCAGTTTCCCAAAAAAGAACTATGTAATACTACATGAGTTAGTTGTGCTGAGTTTATAAGGAGCTGCTGATTTACAGATACACATTACCTTAAAAGAACTGACCTCTTTAAACCCAAATAAACATGAATTCATTATTCAATTATTATCGGAAACTTTATATATGTGTTGAATTATATGCTTGTGTGTAGACACATTTCAAGTTTCCCTGACCTGCTGGCACCTAAATGGAATTAATGAATTGTAAGTGCAGCAACTGAACGCTGTCAGCGTTGACCTATATTGGTGCTAAATTAGTTCTTTCCAGGACGCTTCCAAAGAAATGAATAATTAATAGGAAGTTATTAGAAATTTAGAGACCGATAAAATAAAGTGATCCAGAACAGAAGAGAGAGGGTGCTTAACATCCGTCCATTTCTACCACATGAAGTTTTATTTGTCTCTTGAAGCTTTCTCTTCTGTCCTTTTCCATTCGTTCTTGGCATGTGTGGCTATCTAATTCAATTCCTTCAATTCAGTTCAAATGGATTCAGTTATGTTCCCTCCTGGAGCTCATTGGACTCACAGTGCAGTCACACTGAAGTGCAACTCCGCTGCGGGCGAACCACACTGGCCCGGAGTCTGGATAGTTTGTATACGAGACAGCCTCACCTCCTCCCTTTCCTTCCCTCGTTCAAGAGGGATGAACTCTGGAAGAAACCCCCACTGGGGCTCTAACACCCCCCTTCACACACACACACACACACACACACACACACACACACACACACACACACACACACACACACACACACACACACACACACACACACACACACACACACACTGACTTCCCAACTTGTCCTGCCTGTGGCTTCATACACTTCATACTGCATTATAATTCTCTATTTTGTTTTTCTCCTTTTGTTTGTTTGTTTGTTAATATTTCCCCCAAACCCCTGAATCCATTTCATTTTTTTCCATTATTATTTGGAGGATAATAGGACTTATTCTTCCTGCTTTTTGTTTTTTTTAACACATTTTTCGAGTTCTCTTTTTGAAAGCCCCCTCCTCTTCTTGGTCTGTGACTAGAGTTTTTACCTGTCTTTCACCATCCTGGCAGGCACACTCTCTCTCTCTCTCTCTCTCTCTCTCTCACACACACACACACACACACACACACACACACTACAATGACACACTGCAGGGAGCAGAGCTGCACAATATCAGCCTGCTGAGCTCTCTCCACACCTTGAGACAATTACCCTCCCTGCCTCGCAGCACCCTGCCCCCTGTTGCTGCTTTGAGGAAAGAGACACACAAATGCAGGGGGGTTGGGAGGTGGGTGGGTGGGTGGGGGGGATGAAGAAGAAGAAGAAAAACAATGTGTCTCATTTTCCTTCACTATTTAACAAAACGTAAGCTCTCTCCCGTTCTTTTAGTCGGGCAAATGCAGCTCCCTGCCTTTGAAACTTAAAACACGGGACTCCCCAGTCAAGCCGCGTCCCTTTCCCCTTCTCTCTCTCTCTCTCTCTCTCTCACACACACACACACACACACACACACACACACACACACACACACACACAAACACACAACCTGTAAGAAGAGCGAGTCACATTACAACTATTCACTATCAGGTTCTTCAGCTATTCATCCTGTCTTCATGTCTGACACAAACACACTGAGCTGAACAATGGCCCCTCTTTTCTTTCTCTGTCTGTGTCTCCAGCAGCAGCTCCTCCAGCTCGGCCGCAGATATTTGCACAAAGTCTCATTGCGGTCATCAGCAAGCGCACAAATATAGTCACAAATGTGAGGCAAGGAGTGCAAGACTGCTGGTTTGTGATATTCATGGGTGTTGGAATGTGCAGCCTACAGAGTGGCAGTGGAAATGTGTGTGTTTCTCTGTGTGTGTGTGTGTGTTCGTAATGTGTGTATGTGCTTAAACAGAGTGCATGTGATGACAGACACAAAGAAAAACACACAAGCCTCACTCTGTGCCTTTAGGTTCAAGTTACTAATATCACACCACACACACACACACACACACACACACACACACACACACACACACACACACACACACACACACACACACACACACACACACACACACTCTCAATACATTACAAAGAACAAGATGTGACAAGTAGAGAAATTACGAAAGGACATTGTGTTCGTTGTGGAAAAATACACTTCTTTGTGATAGGACCACAGTGAGATTTCTTCCTTTTCATAACAAAAAAATAATAATTTAGATGAAGACGATGAAGGTCATGAAGGAAAGAAAAGAAAAGAAAAAAAAAGAATCATTATTTCCAAAAAAATTAGAGAAATATTTACTTTACTAAGAGAATCCAGAGATTGTATCATGTATTTACACTAATTCCAGGAAGCACTGGGCAGAAAAGCTTTCACTGAAAAGAGTTCCCTGTGTGTTTCCACTAATTCCCACTGCTATTAGGAAAAGAAGAGAGAAATAACTGTATGACTCAATACACAGCACGGAGCGTTTCATGTGGATATCCACTAATTTCAAGTCCAGGGATGCTTCGAGTTTCATCTCATTAGGGAACAAAGTCCAGTCTTCCACTGACACTGATTAGGACCCGGTTTGAATCAATTAGCAAATCCCACTTAAACTTCCACTGTAATTTTGTATGATTTTGTTCACTTTGCACTAATGAGAGATAAGTAATTTACTTTAGCTTTCCTTGACGGTTAAAAAAAATGTGCTCATTAATTGCATGGTTTCTTTCTCAATGAAAATACTCAGCAGAGGAACCCTTCACTGGCTGGCAGCTACAACTAACTATCACTTCACATAAGGGAAGTCTTGACAAACCTGAGGGAGTTCATAAAATCTTTTCTTTTTTTTTTTTTTCTAAATATAACTGATGGATAAATGTGTGAGCTGCTTTCCCACATTGTGATCTGAAGTGAACAAACTACCAGACAAGAAGTGAAAGTCCCTCCCATTATATTTAAGTGAGCTCACAGTTGCTTCGTTTAAATTAAACTGGCATCAAAGAGAAACTTAACTCTACACAAATATCTGGTGTTTGCAGACTCCCAGTGGTTGAAATTCTCACCATGGTGATGTAGAAGTGTACTCAGGGTGTGGTCAGTACTCTCTGGCATCACTGTCCTATCCATCATGCTAGGTGTGGTCGGCAGTGCAATAGAAGTTAAACTTCCCACCAAAGGATGGCAGTCTTTTCTTTAGTTTTCCAGTCTCATCAGTGAATTAATAGCTCAAATTTTGCCACAAAATCATTTCACTAAAATGGAATGGGCTCTTTTTTTTTTTTTTGCCTAAAAATAGACTTTGGTGAACCAGAGCCTAAAACAGAGGGGCTATCTTACATGATTAGCTTTGTTGCTCCTCTTGTATTTAACCCTCCGCAGAGGGACTGTTAGCATTCACTTATGAGACAGGAGTCAAGTGTACTTAGTGAACTTTAAGTCCTGTTTGTGAGTGACAGGTGAGCTACAGTAACTGTCACGTCACTATATCACTATAGTCTTCACTGTCAGTTAGCAAGAGAACACATTCTCCCTTCTTCAGTAACTCTTTTTTTTTAATGAAATGATGTACAATCCTGAGATCCAAATCCAAATGAAACAGGACAATGACCACTCTGCTTTCTAATGATAATTTGAAGCTTTGAGGATGAAGGTGCTGATTCCAGGGACACAGCATCTGGTTGTTGCTGAATCACTCGTGTTGATCCACAGACCACAGATACAGTACCATGATTTTGTGCTCAATGTGTAACAGCTTGGTTACAAAAGCCTGATTCATCTTACACACACACACACACACACACACACACACACACACACACACACACACACACACACACACACACACACACACACACACACAATGACACCCTGACTGTCAAAGCATAAGTGGTATTGCCAATTCAGTCATTTAATTACTTTATAATCTCATTACTACAAACTTAAGAAATGAAAAATGGTCACGTGGTTCTGCAGTGGAACTGTGATCCTACGTTTGATCATCTGTCTTGCTCTTTGGCCTCAAATGTCAACTACTAAATAAACCTGAACCGTAAGTCCCTGACAGTCTGTTTTGTTATGTGTGACCAACTTCATTGTCATCTGTACTGACTGACATAATGCTGCCTCTCATGTCTTTCTGTCTCTGTCTCTGTCTCTGTGTATGTAAATATAAAAATCCCA